GAGCGATGGAAATACCGGTGATAAACACACCGTGGATAACCACAGTCAAGTGACTCACTCCCACAATTTGCTTGTCGGTAGCTTTGGGGTTGAGGTAAGTTTTATAAATGTCATAAGATAAGATGCTACTAACAGCAATCATTGAGGAGGAAACGGTACTTGTCAGAGCCATGAACAAAAGGAAGAAGAATCCGATAATTCCTTTGTCTCCGATTAATGCCTTGATGGTGTATGGCATCACCATGCCTGAGCTTACTTCAGTGGCAGTAAGCAGACCAGGGTAGGTTGGAAAGATTGGTGTATTGTGAATTGCCCTGGTAGCCAAACCGATAACTGTGCCCAGACCCCAGGGGATACCGAAAACAGCCAATGCAGCGATGTTGTATCCTGGAACTGTTGCCTTAACCTCTGTCGCAAAGGACTTTTGCCAAAATGCGGTATCCTACCGACGACATATTAGATTTGCAAAAGGCATCAAGACGCCTTTCAATGTCTGTTGGTGGAATTGACTTATTGACTTACCATAACGACAAGTGCCAGGTTTCCGAACTTCAGAATCAACCCCCAAATAATTGCATCCTTGGACTTGAATGTAAGAAGTGAACCTTGATAGTTGTTGGGGATATAATTATCCGCAGCTGTTGCAATAACTTTATCATACAATCCACCCAGTCCCCCGATAGCAGAGTTTGTCAAAACGGCGATCGTGAAATAGATGATGAGAATGAGTGCAATGGCTGTGTGCAAGAAGTCCGTCAAGAATGTGGCTTTCAGGCCACCCATGGCTGTATAGAGGACAACTATAAAGAGGTTAGCTCCTGATTCCCGTTGTATTTTTAAAGAAGAAATGAGACAAACCTCCGAGGGGAACAAGAATAGTTGCTGCTACATAGTGCATGCCAGAAACACCATGGATCAGCTGAGAACCCGTCATAATCATCGAGGCACATCCGAAGACGTTATTGACGAGGTTGAGCACGATGAAAACGAGATGTCCAATCTTGCCATAACGCATCCGAACGACTTCAAGCGATGTATGAGCATAAGGAACACGAATCTTGGCCATAACGCCGAGTGCTGCCATCAGTGCAATTTGGAAGCATAGACCAGATCCCCACCACTATAGCCCGTCAGTTGTGCAAGGTCATTCGATGGAATAAAGGAACATACCAAAGGCACTGCGAGACCATACCGATATGTCATAGCCGCACACAACACTGTCTCGTTGATCCACATCCAGGAACTAAAGACTGCGGATGCACACAATCCTCTCCCTACAGAGCGATTGGCGACCATGAACATTTCCGATTTTCCAGAATCTTCAGCAAGATACGCTTTCTGCACCTTCACGGCAATCAAGATGACTCCACAAAAGACCACACTGAGGCCAATGAGAAGGCCATAGGCCGCCCCCTGGGGGATCAAGGCCAGCTTGGACGTATCTACCGTGTTAGACATGGCTGGGCAGAGTAAAGCCAAGTCCAAATGTGCAGGGCCGAGAAATATTTATTGTCTGCGAGGTCCATCCTATCTTCAATGCCAAGTCTGGTCCCTGTAGATATACAGCCAATTAGTGCTCTCTGAAGCATTGCGGAGCAATCAGAGTTACCATATGGGGGATATATCTCACGTCGTCCATGTCCGCAATTGCGTTATGCAGAACGAGTGGAAGAGACGCGAGTAAATAGTCTAGACACATTGTCATTGGAAGATCGAAACAAAGCTAATAGGCTCAACATGTGTTAATTGCCGGAGATATGTGATTGTGAGGGAGATTGTGGTTGGGATTGCGTGCGTCGACTCCCCGATTGCGATAAAACGACGTGGAATCGCGAACGACAATGCTTACTGCGTACCCCACACGAGGCTAATTTATCGGCCGATATAGGATTCAGAATATTCATCGTAAATGTCGAATGTCGAGTGTCGATCACGAATGGGAGATAACCCATCCGAGGACAGTGGTGTGATGGTGACAGCGCTTACTGTATACTTCCGCCCACTTATGTATACAAAGCGGTTCCCGTTGCTCAAGATTCAGCACTTAAATTTCTGTGGCTATTCAAATTGGAATCCAAAGAATTATAGTTCAAAATGAGCGAAAGCAAGCCAACCTCCAGCAAAAAGCAGATCATCCTCAATGCTTTCGTCATGAATACCCCGGGCCATTTGGCACCCGGTCTATGGAAGCACCCCAGAAACAAGACCGACCAGTACAAATCACTCTCATTCTGGACCGAGCTAGCTCAGTTGCTTGACAAAGCCGGTTTCCATGCCATGTTCATTGCAGACACCCTGGGCGCGTACGATGTGTACAAGGGCCCTGGTAATGTTGTACCCGCGTTGGCATCAGGCGCACAATTTCCCGTCAATGACCCTTTGTACCTTGTTCCCGCCATGTCCGCTGTCACGAAAAACCTCATTTTCGGAGTGACTGCCAGCGTTACATACGAGAAACCATACGCGCTCGCACGCAGACTCTCTACCGTGGATCACCTCAGCGAGGGTCGTGTGGCATGGAATATTGTCACGTCGTATCTGGACAGCGCAGCCCGAAACCACGGCTTGGATGCGCAGATTCCTCATGATGAGCGATACGCAAGAGCAGACGAATACCTCGAGGTGCTCTATAAGCTCTGGGAAGGAAGTTTCCGAGATAACGCCGTGCTCGCCGACCGACAGCTCGGAACATACATCGCTAACGATGCTGTGCGGGGGATAAATCACGAAGGGAAATACTTTAGTGTCCCTGGGCCTCACTTCTGTGAGCCATCGCCACAGCGTACGCCATTCCTGTTCCAAGCCGGTGTCTCCGAGGCCGGTGGTCAATTCGGTGGAAAACACGGCGAGGCTATCTTCATCGGTGGTCAGACTCCCGAAGGCACTCGCTTGACGGTGGATAATGTACGAAATCTTGCTAAGGAGCACGGTCGTGATCCAAATCATATCAAAGTCATCGTGGGTATCAACTTGATTGTCGCAGCGACAGATGAAGAAGCAAAGGCGAAGCGAGAGGAATATCTCCAATATGCCGATGATGAAGGTGCACTAGCTTTGTTTGGTGGATGGACCGGAATCGATATGTCAAGTTATGCTGATGACGAGGATTTCCGATTCAGCGACTCGCCGCGGGTCCAGTCCATTGTTCGGAGATGGTCTGCTACTGTACCAGGGACAGATAGCTTACCATGGACCAAACGGAGGATTGTAGAGTACATCAGTGTTGGTGGACTACAGGCCAAGATTGTCGGTAGTCCCACAACAGTTGCAGATGAGTTGGAAAAATGGGTGGAGATCTCCGACGTGGATGGTTTCAATCTTGCCCATATTGTGAATCCTGGGACTTTTGAAGATATTATTGAGTTCTTATTGCCTGAACTTCGACGGAGAGGGCTTTTCCGAGAGGAAATTGAGAAAGAAGGTGCTACAGCTCGTGAAGTGTTTATTGGATCGCAACGTTTGCCAGAGGATCATCCTGGAAGCAAGTACAAGTGGCAGGCAGGGGAGATAATTCCTGATTATCAGATGAAGAACTAGGTCCACTATTATATGTATTTATAATCATGACTGACGTGCCCCTTCGTAATAATCAACCTTGGAATCATCGCGTGGATATCCGGGGCTCCCGCATTACAAATCAATTCACCATTTATATAACCTTAGGAATATCAACTTGACCTGTGATTTCCACCATCGAGTCCCAAATATCAAAATGAAGGAAGCCATTATTGACCAAACCGTTTCGGCCACCATCCGGGATGTTGACATCCCCACACCCGCACCCGCCCAGGTCCTCATCCGGGTAGTGGTATCGGGTACCAACCCCAAGGACTGGAAACTCCCTAAATGGCAACCAGGCAATGTCATTAACCAGGGAGACGATATCGCAGGATATGTGGAGGCAGTGGGAGAAGGAGTCCGGAACTTCCGAAAGGGAGACAAAGTGGCCGCGTTCCACCAGATGGGCAGCCCACATGGAAGTTACGGCGAATACGCCATTGCATGGGAACACACAACATTCCATCTCACCGAGAAGACGAGCTTCGAAGGTATGCATTCCCTCGTCAATATAACCACGAAATGTAACTAATGTATTGAACAGAGGCTGCTACCATCCCGCTTGCTGCGATGACTGCTGCATTGGGCCTATATCAAGAGCTGAGATTGCCTCTGCCCTGGGCTCCCGCCGATAAACCCACTCCTCTGGTTGTGTACGGCGGCGCCACGGCTGTTGGCGCATTTGCGATCAAGTTCGCTCAGCTATCGAATATCCACCCTATCATCGCTGTCGCGGGTAAAGGCGCTCCCTTTGTCGAGACGTTGATCAGCAGGGAAAAGGGAGACACGATCATTGATTATCGTGAGGGCAATGACGCCGTCCACGCCGGGATTAAGGCTATCGGCAAGAAGACACCTATTCACCATGCCTACGATGCCGTGACTGAGAAGGGAAGCTATGCGACTCTCGGTGCTGCTCTCGATGCACCTGGAAAGATCACTGTAATTCTACCTGTGGAAGCTGATAATGCGAAGGAGCAAATCAGTATCCAACGCACTATGGTTGGGACTGTTCATATGCCCCCTGCCGAGGGTCAGACTGTTGGTGATAAGGAATTCGGGGCTGCTTTCTTCCAATTTATTGGTCAAGGGCTCGCACAGGGTTGGTTCTCGGGCCACCCGTATGAAGTCAGAAAAGGTGGACTGGGAGGTATCGAGGGCGCATTGAAAGATCTCCAGGCTGGCAAGGCATCTGCGGTGAAATATGTGGTTAGAATTGCCGAGACTGAGGGAGTCCAACAGTAGTTATACTCGAGAAAGCGATCTCGATTTAAAATCTATGAATGCCTTAACAATGATTCTAAAATGTACACCAAGCCAGATCGGGAAAATATAGATCGGGATCGAAAATGACATCACCGATAAATTCATCAAGTCGCCGAACGTGAAGTGAACATACTGCGTCGATTCCAATTCAACACCCAACACCTTCTCATTGCACAATGGCAAAACGCACACTTGACGCATTCTTCAAACCATCAACTAGCACTTCAAAACATCCCAAAACCGAACCCATCGAGTCCAACACCGCAATCCCAACCCCAAAACCTAACAATGTCCCAATCGAAGACACCAAACCCCCAAGTCAACACCCAAGCTACCCAATCCTAATCGCCCAACTCCCCTCCCACATCGAAGTAGGACTAGAACACGCAACCCCAGCAACCGTACCGCGCGAAATAAACAACCAACCACAACTAGACCTCCTCCACTTCCAGCCATACATCCCCCGCCAAACAGCCAACGAGCTCTTCAAATTCCTACGTCGCGAACTCCCCTTCTACCGCGTGCAGTACACATCACGACGGGGTGGCACCGAAACGCAAATCAACACACCACGATGGACAACCGTCTTCGGAGTCGACGAGACATCAACATTCATCCAAGAACAAGAAAACAACCCCAACAGCCTTGTACTACTAGAAACCAAGACCAAGACCCCAATCCCGAAGACAAAGTACCAGTGCACGCCACGGCCAATCCCAGCTTGTCTCGATATACTACGGAGACAGGTTGAAGCAGCGAGTGCAGCGGCAAACGCGGATACTAAAACGCCCGGATATAATTTTTGCCTGGTGAATTACTACGCTAGCGGGGAAGACAGTATCGCATTTCACTCTGATGACGAGCGATTCCTCGGGCCCGAGCCGAATATCGCCTCGCTGTCGCTGGGCGGCGAGCGGGATTTTCTAATGAAGCATAAGCCTTTCATTCCCGGAGGAATTGTGAACCAGGCGGCGGGTGGATGCGGGCCTGGTACTGCACATACAATCTCCGGGCTGGGTGATACCGGTACGACGCGGGCGAGTTGTACGGTTTTGGATGGGACGTCGAATTCCAATACTGTTTCTTCTCCTAGATCCAGACCCGGTGCTACGGTGCCATTGCAGCAAATCAAGATGAGACTTGGGTCAGGCGATATGGTTGTTATGCGCGGGGCGACCCAGTCGAATTGGTTGCATAGTATTCCTAAGCGGAAGGGAAAGACGGGGGAGGCGACAAGGGGACGGATTAACATTACCTTTCGCCGGGCTATTGTTCCTGGCGGGACTAATAATTATTACCATTATAATGTTGGTAGTGGGGGGATGTATCGGTGGGATGAGGTAGCTAGGGAGATGGTTCTGTGGGATAGCAAGCAATAGATAGCTACGCGGTAGCTGGTAGCTACCCAGTGTATGACTGAGCATAGAAAAAATTTGAATAAAATAAAATATACATGTGTGCCGTAGCACGAAAAAAATCGTCTCATGCCCGTGAGTTGGACGTGCAGCTCGGGGCGAGATGGATGATATCACTGAGAGCCATGTCGACACATTTCAGTCTTTGTACATTTGCTTCTGAGAAAAAAAAAAAAAAATTGACATCGAAGCAAGTCATCATATGGCATTGGCACTGCGTCTTCCAGTAACCATGGTATTTCTCCCATAGGGAGTTCCGGCAAGTGCCGGGTAATAAAGAAACGTATTCTGGTGGAAATACAAGAGCTATTGACCCTTGTGGGCATAAGAGGAATGACTTGAAATGATCAGTAGTTAAAGATGACTTCTTCGCCGTAGACATCTGCGTAGCATTGGAACAAATCAGGGCAGCTGAAATCAAACATATTAGCGGAGAAATAAATTAGTACACTTGCAGGACAACTTACAAGACGGGATCCTTGCCGAAAATGATGTGCCATGAATACTCCATAATGTTGGAGGTAGCCTCGTCCGGCAGGTCATTATTCATCACCCAGTCATACATGCGCTGGTAATCGCTGTGGGGGCGCTGGAGAATCTGCTCGCGGGAAACGGCGAACTGGGAGCAGCACGGGGCGGCGATCTCGCGGGGCACCGGCTCACCGGGGAACAGCTGTTTCCAGGCAGCAGCGTAGTGTGCCTCGCCCTGGCTTTCGGGATTCGGGGGTTGACGGAATGGTTGGATGGCAGAGGGACATCCTGGGCTCAATTGGCAACGCAAGTTGACAAAGCCTGCCTGTTGCACAAATTCCTTCTGCAATGCGCGCACCGAGTCCACATTGCTGTAATCCATGGTGTCGATGTGCCAGCCGGCGATCACACCGTCGCGGTGGCTGTGTAGGAAGACCACGACGTCAGGAAGGTCGTCGTAGTGGTCGACCAGGTATTGGAGATAGGGGAGAGCCTCGCGACCCTTGTTCTTCGGGGTGTGCGTCGGGGCATTGATATCGTCGACGGTGTAAATGACGCTGCGCCATCTGTGAAATATTCAATTAGGCTGTCTTCTGCTGGAAACACACTCAAGCCAAACTCACTCTGCTAGTTCCGCTCCGATCCAAGCAGTATCTTCCTCCTTGCGTTTGCCCATCACAATAGCACCTTGGTTGGGGACCACGATCTCGGTGGTCTGGTAGACCAGAGCGGGCTTATTATCCGATGCAACCCGCCATTTCCGTTGCGATCCCGTATCAGGTTGGGATTTTGGTCGGAGGGATGTGCGGAAGGATCCAGTATCGAAGTGCCATATATCCTGAAGTGATTCACCTTTGCTCTTCAGACTGCGGTTGACCAAGACGAGAGTGAGGATAATTAGTGCGGCAGCGGCACTAACACGGATTGACAACCTCATCGCATAACGTGGTTGTCGAAATTGAGGGAAAGGGTATTAGGGGGGGTGGCAGTGTGAGAGGAGAAGGTTGAGAAGAGGACAGTGTCTCAGAACGCGCAATCTTAGTGAAGTAATAAGCACCGACCCATGTGGAGGCCGGGGGGGAACAAACTTCACTCGCGTACTCTGAACGCGAGATGACGAAAGTGCCGAGTCAAGGGATGAATGAAGGACTTCGAGAAGGAATGGAATCAATTGAGATATTGTAGGTGAGATAGTAAGAGGCGGAGGAGGACTTTCCTCTAAGATGAGAAATGGTAAAAAAAAAAAAAAAAAAGGAAATTGGCGCTTTCCTTATTTGGGAGAGGGGCCTACTCTCTGGTTCTGTTTTTGATCCATTTTGGACCATTTGGGACCATTTGATTGGACGGATGGATGATTATCGGTCTCTTTACCTGAGTTTATTTTATTTTTTATTTTTTTATTTTTTTATATTTGATTTTTATATTTCATCTCAGGGGTACATAATGCTTACTCGATGTGGTAGATGTGGTACGGGGTCCGGGGAGTACGGACATAGAGCCTGAATACCAACCCAGTCCAGCAAGAGACCTACAATCCTGAAACCAATTTATCCGTTGGACCCTATACATGACACACATGCCCTGCAAGGGGATATCTGCAGATCAATTTTTCAATCTGTACCCGAACCGTGCCAAGTGTCCAATACAGTGCGCCCTACGGAGTAGTAGATACCCATTTTTCACAATTTATGTATCTTTTATATTGACTTACCTATATTAAAGGTACTTAGGCACCCCGTGGACATAACACGCGTTTTCTTAGCCCTCAAACTAGTTAGAGAACATATAAGAAGATATATATAGTGTAAAGAGAGGTCTATATTATTTAACCGAACTTTGGTAAGGAATATTAAGTAACTATATTTCCACCATACAGCCTTCATATATTGTCATTTTTAAATTATTATTCTTCTTCCATATTAGGTACTAAGATACACTACTACCATCAAATCAATTAAGCTAGACTTATACCATATATTCGTACACTTTCTATTACTCTAGCTAGTTCGAGCGCTGAGAAAACATATGTTATGCCTACGTGGTGGCTAGTACCTTGTATATAGGCAAGTCATACAAAATATACATAACTTGTAGATTGGGTATCCAAAAAATCAAAATGAAAAAAGGGCATGACCAACACCAAATACTAAGACATCAGCCGCGCGGCGGCATAATATTCACATCAAAATACTCCGAATCAGGCGCAACCCGACCAACCACATACCGCATACTAGGCAACACAGCTAACGCTTCCCTCTCAACCGCCCAGTGATATTTCGCCAGATGCGCCATAAAGATATCAAGATTTCCATATACCTGAGTCGACCCCTGTGCCATCGCACAACAAAAGACACAGCAAAAAGTGCCACGAGGAGCATTAGAATTAAAATGCAATGCCGGGTCTCGCTTACAGGGCACGTGGGATTTCGCCAAGAACTCGAATCGATATCGGACACCGCTAGCTCTATGCGTGCGCACGCTTTCCTCGAATAGCGGGTTGTGGTTGGAACTCTTCGGGCTCATAGGTGCTTCAAAAGCACACTTCGTGCACCGCAACCATGACTGTTGCGTAAAATATCCCGCCGCGGGCTCGGAGTAGATTTTGAATCCTCGGAATCCCGTGTGCACTTTCCACGCGCCTTTGCAGAAGCCCAGGTAGTTGTTGGTTTCGCTAGGTGGCCAGAGGGGTCGGATTGCTTGGGTTGGTCGGTCTGTGCTACTTCGGGTGGAGGGGTTTGACGGGGTAGAGTCTGTGGAGGCGGTTGAGGTTGTGGAGAGAGAATCGTTGCGGGATTGCGTGGGTGCGGAGATGGGCGAGAGGTGGTGGTTTTCTTTCTTGCATGGAGCAATTCTGATGGCTTCTTCGTCGTCGGAGTCTATGAGGCTTTCGTGCTTCCATGGGTTCCCCCCTAAGACGTCGTGTGGTATCGAGGTTGGTCGCAACTTGGGTACACTCGGCGTGGCTGGTCTAACATCGAATTCCGGAATCGGCTCTGATGTCGACGGCGACACTGCGATGTATACTCTAGTTTGTGGGATGTGTGCGGGCTCGGGTGCTGACGATGGAAACGATGGTGTTCTCCCACGACCTGGGCGGGGATGGAACAAGTCGCCCATACTACTCACAACTGAGCCAAAGCCTGATGACCGTCTGCGAGGTTTTGAACTGGAGGTCCCATCCTCTCTCGATGTTCCTAGTGTGTCCATTGGCGAGGTACAGACGTCCTCCGATAGGATCTGGCATCTTGCATACCTGGCTGGTGAGGTAGGATATCCGCCGGAGAGGTACGCCATCTCCGACATGTGAGGTGGCCGGTACCTGTCCGAGCCACGAGGAAAATAACCACGGCCATACGAGTTCCTCGTGTGATAGTTTTGATCGATGGACATGGAAATGGACGATGGAACAGGCGATGGCCTCGACAGACGCTGGTACAAGTCGCCCAAAATGACGAGCGTGCGAACGCGGCCCTGATCGGACTCTATCTGCAACGCCATCAGATCCGGAGTGGTCCCTTGCTCCTGCGCCTCTCGGAGGTGTCTCAGCAACGCCCCCTGTAGTGTGATGATGATATCCTTCATATGCTCTCGAGCGATCGAGTCACCTCGCTCATATCGGTAGCCAAGCTCTTGATTATGCAGATCAAACTGGCTTTGAATCTCGGTCCGGCCACGAGCGAGCGACCGTTCTAGTTCTAGTTCCCGGATGGACTGGCGCTCGTGATACTTCTTCCTAATGGCAGTAAACATACTCGTTCCATCGCTGTAGGCGGAGACGACTGTTGCCGATTAGGGTTTGTTAATCTCAGCTACTGATAGAAGGAGACGAGATGGTCTTACTGGCTGCCACACACGCTACAACCGCGATCACCTCCACCCCCGACATGTTGAGTCAGATGGGGTTTGGGATATACGGAGAGGGGCTGGATATGAGTACTGTAACTCGGTTTGGGATCAAAATATACAGTATTATATAATAAGATAGACAGCCTGAGATTATTTGATACAAAACGAAAAGCTTAGGGGTAAGAAAGGAAAGAAGAAATGCCCAGCAAAGGGACGTAGTTGGCAAAAAGAAAAAGAAATAAAAGCGTCCTTGGCCTAGAGGGCTGAGGCATGGACTCGATTGGAATTGACAGGTCCTTCTGATAGCAAAAGCACAGTCCACCCAGGCCTCTTTGCCCAATGGCAACAGGAAATTCTCCGGTATAAGCGAAATGAGGGGGTTTGACCTAAGAGGTGAGAAGTGAGCAAGCCCGATCTTATCACCTGGTGAGCTACATGGTTTTGTTGCCTGGTAATATGGTGATATAGTACAAACCTCCATGGTTAACAGATCTACATGTTTACAACGTATAGAAGCATAAACTAGTTAAAACATGTAAATCAGTGGGACATCTACGATCATCGGATCCACTGTCTCCACAACCGATGCCTAAAGACGATCGTTTCAACTGACATACGATGCTGATTGCATGTGGCGTATAATATCCTTCCTTACTGAACAAACAAGTACCTTCATTCATGCATAGCTGGCTTAAAATCAAGGCAACCAAGATCCCCCAACTAACCAAAGCCCTAACTACCCTATTCTAACCCGTACATCCATACATAACCAAAATAGTCAAACAAATGACAGCAGCGCTAGTCCAAATGCAAATCGAAGTAAAAAAAGATAAAAAAGGGCCCAAGCCCCCATCCTAGTCAATGATCAACAACATCGCCCCTTGTTACGTGACGCACGCATAACCCGTTCCTCCTCGGCATCATCGATATTGACACCAGGTGCTCCCAAACCCATCCAACTCCTCCTCTTATCACCATGACCGAGCCGGAAACTCCCCGTGCCTTCCACAACCCCAGGATTAAAAGGTCCGACAACTCCATTCGCCATGGGCGTACCAGCAATCGACATAGCCAACTCGGTATCGCGTCGATTCCGCTGTTCAACCAGCTTACGCGTGATAACGCGGAAAACCTCATCGATTCCCTCGCCATCCCGCGCGCTGATCTCATGGCAGCAATCCCACCCAATCTCCTGCCCCCAGAATGCCGAACTGCGCTTCGAGTCCGGACTCTGTAGGGCAGCGGCACTGGCGCTAGCGTTCGATGTGCTGCCGCCACTGCCTCCAAAGACAGATGTTCCAAAGCCTAGCGCGCCCATGCCGGCTGTTGCAGTTGTTGGTGGTGGGGTTGAGGCTTGGGTTGGGTAGAGTTGTTCGGCGACGTAGTCGATTGTGTGTTCGAAGGGAACACGGCGGCGGGAGGGGTCTTCGGCGACAATGTCGGACTTTGTACCTACGACATGGATGATGAGGGAGTCTGTGCCGTCGTCGCTCGGGGTGATGTTTTTGCGAAGTTCGCGTAGCCAACCGGCCATTTCTTGAAAACTGTTTTGGTCGGTGATCTGTGTAGGCAGTTAGTATTAGTGGTCATGCAAGTTTTATTATGCTGTATATTGCGCTTATATGGGATCATAAGATACAAACGCAGACAAACGCAGGCAAGAAGAATGAGGGGAAATTGTGTGGAAGTGGATGCACTGACATCATAGCACAGGAGCACTGCTTGGGCTCCTCTGTAATAAAGTCTCGACATGCTGCGAAACCTCTCCTGTCCAGCTGTGTCCCATATCTGCAATCTGACTATTGTATCGGAGGTGGAATCGAGGACGCGCTTTGTCACGAATGACGCGCCGATGGTAGAAGCCGCTGCGGGGTTGAAGGTGTTTTTACAGTATCTCTCCACGAGCGCAGTCTTTCCCACCCCTGGTTGCGATCAAGGTTAGTATAGTGTTTGGTTGAATTTTCAATCATGAGGATATAGATTGGAAACTGGGCACTCCATAGACATACCCTGTGCTCCGAGCACCACGATCTTAGCTTCAAGGCTTGAACTCATGTTTCCCCGAGGTTGAGGAAGCGGGGGTCAAGTTTGGGTATTCGCATGATATATTAACAGAAGCCAAACCCTTTGACGACTGATGCAAAACAAAGCAATCAGATTAAAGGCACATTTGAAAGGGAAATGAAAGAAAAGAAAAGCTGGAGATGTTCCGGGCGGTATCAGCCGATGGCTTCTTTCTTGTTCACGAGATTTCCTGCACGTGTCTTGGATAGTAAAATGAGAAACAAAAGAAAGGGAGGAAAGGGTTCAACTTCTATAAACCTGACTACGTAGTTGGTTTCTCTTATATGTTGATGACCTGGGATTTAAGGGGTATTATTATATATATAGTCGGACAAAGGACAACATCAAGTTCTAAACTGCTCAGCCTACTAATTAAATAATTTATATGGTCTTATGGTCTGTTGATTGGTTTGCTATGAGGGTGAACATACTCGTGATTATACTCGTGATTATGCTCGTGATTATAGTTTTTGATTGCGAGGATTATGAATGGTCCCCTTGCTCTAGGATCTATCAGCCTCATGCAAGGCAGCACTCGCATGAGTCACTCTTTATGTTTACTATAATACAAGGACCTATAAAAATGATGCCTATCACATGAAAAACACCACTATTTTCTAGGCCCGAACTTTGCCCAAGGTTCAGGAAACCCAGTTCCACGCACCCAAATATCACGGAATATTGTACCCGCCCTGTCCACAGCTGGGATATTTCGTTAGAACGCAGCAGATTTGAGCAAAGATGGAAGATACAACTTACCTAAATTTCCAATCTTTAGCCACATATCACCAGAGACAGGGAGATGTTTTTTATTCCCCGCCTCATAAGGGCGACAAATCTCCTCGGCAAATGCAACAGTGCGAACAAATTTAGCCAAATGACCGTCATCAGAGGGATGAAGGTAACATTTAGCAAACACTTCTGGCCAGCCTAAATGTATAGGATAATCCAAAATATCGTCGGGTTGTGGCTCTGGCATGTGTCGAGACGCCCAGATCAGTAGGTCCATACGGCCTTTCATCTCCAGAAGACGCGCTTTATTTGACGCACTCAGGTATGGTAGGTCCATGAAGACCTTGAAAAAGATAGAGAGATTCACCGCATGGATGTAAAAGAAATCGAGTTTCAGTTCCTTTCTCGGATTCTGTGCCGTCGCAGTCCAGTAAACTGTGTTTTCTTTAGTATATCGTGGAATGGAACTTGATAATGAAGAGGAGTTACTTACTGGCAGTGTTGATCATTTCCACAAATTTCTCATGAATTTGATCTTCGGATACTACCCACTGACTGCAATATCTGATCACATCCGTACCAGCCCGCTTTAGCATGCCGTCCTCAAATACATCCGTGTCTCCGTGGGCGGAAGCGTTTCTGACTTTTTCCTCTGCACGCATCTCCTCCATGATTTCCATCAATGGCTTGTACTTCTTGAAATTTGTGATAGAGGCATTTGCGGTTGGGTTGAAGAAACAGTCTGCAAGGTAATCCTTGTGAACTGAAGCCTGTGCCAGAGCCTGAGCAACAATGGCAGGCTGCTGGAACTCAAGCCCAAACCCAAGATGAATGATAGGGTGAACAAGTCCTGCAAACATCCGAGAGAGGAGAGATTCGGCTAGCTCGTCACCGCTGAAAAGGTACTCATTCAGAACCATTGGGATGCCCTTCTTGTCAATTTCCTGCTGGAAGAAGGCAAGGAAGCTCGAATAATTTTCTTCTCGATACATTTGCTTTATGAATGCCTTTTTGTCATGAAGAGCTTCGATCAGTGTCTTATTCGGAGGGAACGCGGGCCGCTGACGTTTATCTTCGCGCTCATATTGCAGCTGAATGGTTTCAGGTGAGGCCCCAAGAGCCCAGATAGTGAGCATAAAATGCACAATATGATCTGTTTCAATAGTTAGTGGTAAACTTGAGAGTTATTGAATATGAACAATACCATGGAATTCGATATTGTTAAGATAAATATGGTGATTTTCCATGTCGTGTTGGAGAACCTCACTGACTTTGCGAGCCGATGCCCAGCTCAGGCCGGAGGTACTGAAGACACCCCCATTCTCGGGGGTCAGATAGATTTTGGAGGAGGTGGCCATATCCCGGTTAATCGGATGTTGACTTTTTGAGATCGATTAATATGGTAACAGGGATACTTCCATCGCGGAAGTTGAAGAACAGGAAATAAGCTTGACTATATATAATGGCAAATCAGGCCAATCCACCGTCACCTTTAGTAATAGGCAGGTTCGACATAGATACGTAATACAACTGCTAAATATGCCTCGACTTTGTGCCGGGACACTCGCGTTTCTCGGGATGCCGAACCCCCACAATGTACGCTTTCGGCTCGGAATGTTCGGGTCTCATGAATCAATCCCGCTATTTAGGCTCTCGGGTTAGAACAACTGCTCGGAAAAGGATTGGCTTGTGGTATATTTCAATAACAGCATTGCGGGGACTTCCAAATCCTGAAAACCAGATGCTAGCACATGCGCATCAAAAAGTCGCCAGAAGGGTCGGTTAGAGCATTTGTCATGAAGTCATAATCCAGTACACTATCATCAATTACCGGCCAAGAATGATCGAGCCGATTTGTTGGGAGGACCCACGGCAAATTCGAACCTTCAAGATGCCCCGAGTGCTCTTGTGAAAGCATGCTGGGTCCATCCTGCGTAAATGGCTCCGTAAAACGGCCTTGCTGGGTAGAACTGCCCTGCGCATTGCCCTCAACAGGAACTTGATTAGAAATAGAGGCTTCGGGTTCCGCCAGGCGCTCCACTCTGTCTTGCAGCTGCAAGAATTGAAGATGGTCGTGATCCATGATATTTTCGGCACTCGTCCGATGACGATTGTAAAACGCCTCTATTTCCATCAAAGTAGCATGCCATGCTCGCGCTATTTCCCATACACCACTTGCCTTGAAAAGCCATCTAGCACCCCAATCGTAGAAGTCAGCCATGTCGGGCTCTCCAAGGGCCATGTGTGGCCACGTTTTGGCGTAAGCAAGCACAGTCGTGGCATTGAAAACACAAAAACATGTGAAAGGAGCCTGAAGCTCTATTCCGTATTCTACCAGCTGTTTCATCATCCGAATCGTGTCACTGGCGCTCTTGAACAACTTTCGAGCACTTGATTCCCACCACTGAGATGGGGCGGTCTCTGTGATTAGCGGTGGCTCGGGTGGGCCGGACGGAGCGCAGATTTTGAAAGGAATGAAAGGAATGAACTCGCGATGTAAAAATATCAAGGTCACAAAATATATCAAATTGATGAAGGCAAACTGCGCGCCCTGATTACGCAGTATGTAAGACTGCAGGTTGAAGTTTGTAGAAGAGAAGTGCATGCGCACAGATTGTGCAGCTCGCCATTCTTCGATTGCGACCAAGCCGCGGTTCCATGGTGAACCCGTTCGCCATTGGCAGTCTCTTGAAGCCAATGACGCAGTTCGTCTCCCCCGGAAGACACCAATCGTAACACGGCAGACCATACATTGAACCCCTGGATTATTAAGGAAAAGCAGGGCTCTGAACCGTATTTTGAATAGTTGTTGGTTGTAGAAACGTCAGAAATTTGGAGATCAATTGTTTGCAGAAAAGTCGGACTGTCAACTTGACATGTACCAAACGCGAAGTCTTCATCGGTAGTGGGAAGAGACACATTGTGTGTGGTTGAATGAAAGCTAAATGAGCGAAGCTTTCCACTCCCCAAAATACCTTCAATCAGGAAACAAGCCCATAGTGTCCTTCGAGCCTCTTCGACTTGCAATTGATTGGAATGGGGATGTGTTTGTGCCCCCGGTTCTGTCAATTGCATAAGTATTGGGTAGCAGGACCTAATAGCCATGCCTTTCCTCAAACGTCAGTATACATGGACAAATACTTTGGGGTTCGTAAAATCGTGTGGGCCATTCAATCGTACCATTGTATGTCCATGCTTGAGTGCCTTTACCGGACCCCCAATCGTGGAAGCTCAGCAATAGCAGTGCCTGTACTATGCCAAGATCGGCATTAGCAACCATGTGGCAAGTAATACTACGTCGCAAATGACTCGCAAAGTATTCGCATGCGGCAAGCGAACCGCCATATTGCTCTGATAGTTTTGGAATAAATCGTGCACATAAGGCGAGTATGCCGCAAAACCTAATATCCAACGAATCCTTTCCGCGGATCGAATTAAGTAATGAAGGACCGTGCAGAAAGTTGAACATTGTAAACTGCTGCTGAAATATTTCAGTCGCCGCCACGACAAGATCTTGATCGATTCTCGATAGGGGATTCTCGAGGCCGGATTGAAGCTGTCTTGAAGCCGATACCCAAGGATGCCTTAGAGGTAACTGAGGTTGATTGACTTGATCATTGCCCAGATGCACGTGATGCGACCTTGGAAGGTCCTGGGGCAGAGTCTCGGGAGGTCGAATAGCGTCGGTGGCTCCTAGGACAGATCCCTGGCCAGATGGACGAGAAGCTTCAATTCCATGGTGTGTAGCTCGAAACTTTGACCGGGAGACTCCACGTCGCTTGGGATTTCCGCTCAGCTTGCTCAAGATACAGTCTCGGTCCGGATTCGAAGTGCAAGCCTGGCAAGGAGGCTTCCCATCATGCCGACATTTGATTTTCGCCTTCCGGCACCAATTGCAAGCCAGAGTTGTTCTCATTTCGACATAATTTTGCCGAGCAATATCGTAGCGCAATGAATATACCGAGTGGCTCGCTTCTAGAAGTTTGCATCCCGAAGCGATATAGAGAAACTCGGGAGTCGCCACTAAAAATTGAGTAGTCTTGAGTCATCATGGACCTCGGAATGTTTCGAAATGTTCAGCATCATTCCGATTGGTCGATAAGGTGGGTCCAAATCGCATCTGATGTCTCGAAATGGTTTAGCCTTTTAACTCTTTCTGGCAATATTTTCCTTGTCTGCAGACATTTGTCTAAGATCACTTGGAGCTGTGGATATCAAAATATCTTGCTGATATTGATTTCGAGTTTTCAAAACACTCTGAGATTTGTCGTTCAGCCTGAGTAGGTTTTTATGCACCAGGAGAGAACAGAGCCTTGTCACTAAATGTTTGCACTTCCAGGGAACATACGACGCTATCATGCAACCCAAGCTCGAAAGAAGCGATTTTGTTATATCCGACAGAGGCGGGGTGGTTGAAAATCGACATGTTATTCATGCATCGGTTGTCGATGCAGCTGGGAATTTTCTTTTTGCCGTAGGGGACCCGGGAAGAATGACCCTAGCTCGATCTGCGGCGAAGCCAATCCAGGCATTGGCCATCCTCGAAACCGGTGCATGTGACCAATTTGGTTTCGATGATGCCGACTTGGCATTGATGTGTGCATCGCACAATAGCGAGGATAGACACATCGCTCGCGCTCATTCCATGCTTCGCAAAGTGGGTGCCGAAGAAACAGATCTTCGCTGTGGTGGCCATACGGCTTTGTCAGATGTTGTCAATCGAGCATGGATAAAAGATGACTTTGTTCCCACTGCTATATGTAATAATTGCTCAGGCAAACATGCTGGCATGTTGGCCGGCGCTAAGGCACTGGGTTCTGGTGTGAAGGACTATCACATGGCCACTCACCCTATGCAACTGCAAGTTCGACGTATCTTCACGGAGCTTTGTGGCCCAGATAAAGATACCTTTCTCTGGGCGCTTGATGGCTGCAATCTGCCGGCCCCAGCTTGTCCCCTGTTCATGTTAGCTAAACTCTATGCTCTCCTTGCTGCATCGCCAGATGTTGTGGAAAACAATACCACCACCCAAAATGGTTGCGATCAGACACGAGCCAGTTATCTGAATCGAATTTTTCAAGCTATGTCACGGTATCCTGAATATGTAGGTGGTGAGGGTCGATTCTGCACAGAGCTTGCGAAGACGTTTCAGGGGATTTTGATTGGCAAGCTCGGTGCAGACGGCTGTTACGGATTGTCAATTCGGGAATCAAAGCAGACCCAGAAACTTGGAGCAAAGGGTGCTATTGGCATCTCAGTGAAAGTCGAAGATGGAAATATCAACATTCTCTACGCAGCTGTGATGGAAATACTTGAGCAGCTGCAAATTGGGACACCAGAGATGCGCCATGCCCTCAGTCATTTCCACCTCCCGAAGCTTTGCAATACAGTTGGTTCGCTCACTGGTCATATATCTCACTTGTTCCGAGTACGTTCGGCGTGATCAAGGTTTCCGGGGAGCACAAGCAGCCTGACTTCACATTTGTATATATAGAATAAACTGCAATTGAATGTGTTAGAGTCTACAAAGTAAATGAGATCATAGAGCACAATGTGATTTATTGTGGTGGTTAGAGGAAAGGAGAGTACTAGTCTGGTACTCTGCAAGCCCACAGCCCAGCCCAACCCAACCCGCAAATAGGCTGGGTTTGGGGCCCTGTCTTCGGGCCCACCGGTGGGCTATGGGCCCGGGATGATAGCCCACTGGGCTTTCAATGGGGGCCCATTTAGACCTAATAAGCAACAAATATGCCAATCTTTCCCAGCTGTATAATTAATGCAGATTTTCCCGTAAGTTTGGATATGCTACTTACTATTTAAGCCTCAAAATACCGGTGTGTAAGATGATTAAGAAAGGGAAACAGATGTTGATTCCTAGAGACTACTGTAATGGAGAGATCTTCGAGGTCAGACTCGGCAACGGAAGTTTACCTCAATAAGAGTGTGAGGAAGGTGTTAGAATCTATAGGAATTTGCCGATGCATTGTTGGCCGATTCAGGCTTTCCCTTCTTGTTCTTCTTCTTGTTCTTTGGATTCAAGAAGCACTCGCGTGGCTTGTGACTAGTCATCCGATCGTGGAATGGGCAGTGGTACGAAGAACTGTCAGAGTCCTTAGAAGCCGATTTGTCTTTGCCTTTTCCTTTGTTAAAGCCCTTCTTTCGTGTCGAAGCAACATTTGACGATGCTTGTTGCAGTTGATAAGTACGATCATTGCCAATCCGACGTCCTTCAGAAGCAATAAAGTCTCCATAAATGTTCCGGAGATTGCGATCGTACGACCAATTCTCATGGATTGAGACGGTGTTCAACCAGTGTTGACAGGCAGGGTTGCTAGCAACAGCATGTAAGAACACGTGGATAGCATGAAGAGAAGACACACGTTCAGAGACAGGGTATGCGTCCTGCATCTCCACAAAGAGATGAAGCCACTTGGTGACAAAGTCTTCCGGTTTGACGCCAGTTTTGTACTTCCAAGTAGCCCATTTGATGGCTTTGTTACTCACAGCATAGAGGCTCTTTGCTTCACAGAGCTCTCGAAGATCTTCATAAATCTGCGCAGCTGTTTTACCTCCACGGAAGTAAACTAACATAGTGATGTCAACCGTGGAAGCCATGTACATTAGAACAATTGCATTACGTTGATCCCATTCAGCCTGCTTCTTGGCACGAGCAGTGAGTCGAGCCCTTGTCGGGTTAGGGACAGCGGGTCGATGAAACCCAGAAGGAGCATTTCCCGGAACTAGCACAGAAGCAGGGTCAACATCTTCTTCGAACACATCACCGTTTGTATCCGATTCCGGTTTAGAGAGATCCTTTGGACGCTTCTCAATGCCAGTGAGAAGACCCCAATATGTGAGGTTTTTTCCATCCAGGGCGATCCTGAGCAAATTCTTCCATTGTGTCCAGTTGGATTCCCCCTTCAAAGGTGGAACGAGATCGGTGATTTTGAAATCCATGAAAACCGGTGATTCCGCCATATTGTAGGGCCGGAGTACACTCAATGTCGGGACTGCAAAACGAAGATGGGATGGCGTAGATCCTAGGGAGTAGTCAGCGATGACTAGATGGGACCGTGGTCCCCCGAAATGGGATGTTGAAAATCGCTACCGGTAGGCACGGCCTAAACTGGCAAAATTGAGGCTATTCCCAGGTAACCAAGTACACTGAGAACAGTGGCTTCGATGAAATCGATGGAAAGAGATGGAAAAACCAACAGTATTGATGAAACTGTGGTGGTGGTGGATGGATATGAAGAATCCAGAGAGGTGCAAAGAGAGAGAAAACTATGCGTGAGGTTGTTATCTAGATAGCAAACAAACAAACCCCAGATACCATCTAATAATGGTATTAATCCCAAGGTGGTGTCGCCTAGTAAAATCTCTGCACAGTCCCCTACGTAGGAGATACTGCTAAAATTCTACCTGTCACCTTGACAGATCGTAGCAACGTAGCTTTCGATCTAAGGTTGAAGCTGAAGCTATTCACAGATCCTAAAAAGGCAATCCCCGATACTTGACAGGATGTGAAGATCAACCTTTTTGGATGGATCGTGCCAGGAGAGACACAACCCCTGTACGTTGTCACTTTTTGTACAGAACCGAGGATATTGACAGATCATGAGATCAGATCAATAACGAATTCCCCGGGCTCGTGACCTGTTAGAATCTACAAGCAAATAAATGAAGCCACAATGTAATGTATTGTGGGATGTGATGATGTTAATGATGAAGATGGAGGAAAGGGGAGAACTAAATTACTAGTATGGGAAGTACAGATCATGTGACGCATGAGAGATATCAACAGCAGGTTTAGTAGATAGGGTTGTAAGTAATGGTACGTGCAGATGAAGAAAAAGATACGTCAAAAAGGGGGAAATAAATGATATACGGGAGAGAATAATTTGCTGCGTTTATCTACATTTACGGCCTTAAGCCTCCAGGACCCATATAGAGTATATAGGCTGAAATATACATAGGAAACGAGTATTAATCAGCTATTTTATGTATGTCAAGACTGTGGTTATATACAAAATGGGCCCCCCATCAATGGGTCCGGGGTTCAGGCCCATTTGTGGGCTTTGCGGAGGTCGAGTACTACTAGACTTACTAGTACTGTGGAAGGTACGTATCATGTGACAAATGAGAGATATCAACAGTGAGGAATGCCCTTCTCTGGAAATTAAAGAGACACCGAAGAAGAGTCCGAGGATTGCTGGAAACAGCAAAACTAACCGCATATAGCAATTTACAGGTGCTCGTTTTACATGGAAAAAAGTAAATATGATGTGTTGATTCTCTAGACTAGTATCATGCTAAGCGCATGTACATAAAGCCAAGAATTCCCATGCCCGGCCGAACCATTTTCGGACGTCATTATATATAAAAAAGAAATAGCACTGCACTTTGAGTGCAGACAGGATCATCCGGCATCAGAGCCAGGGAGCCATCCTTCAGGCCAGAAACATTGGGTATATGATGTCAAAAGAAATAAGCAAATGGAAGGAAAACATAAAATGCGAATCTGGCGTTTACCCGTCTATAGATAGGCAACAGCACAGCCATAACGTTAAGAAATGGCAGCGCACAGCGCTGTCACGCCGGCAACTTGAAACACAAACGCTTAGCGAAGCTCATAGAAAGCCTATCTCTCATGAGACGTTCTTGGAGTTCTCGGTCTCCTCGTGGAGTTCCTCACCCTCGCTGGAGCCGCTGCGAGGGGAACCCTTCTCACCGGCATTCTCCATATCGCCCTGGCGTTGGCTAGACTGGAAGCCATACTCAGCAGCCTTGGCCTCAATCTCCTCATCAGTGAGCTTGGGCAGCTCTTTGGCAGCCTTGACATAGCTCATGTTCTCGCAGAAGCCCTTGGCGAAGATGAGATCAATCTCCTCCAGACTGCGGCCAGCGGTCTCGGGGTAGAAGAGGATCATGGGGGAATGAAGATGAAGTTCATCACGGCGAAGAAGAGGTAGGTACCCCAGGAGATACTGTCAATCATAACCGGGGTGATCATCACGACGGTGAAGTTGAACAGCCAGTTGGAGCAAGTGGAGACGGCATTGGCCTTGGCACGAGTACGGAGAGGCGAGATCTCGGCGGGGTACAACCAGGGGAGGGGCAGGATGGAGGCACCGAAGAAGGACATGTACAGGAATAGACCAAATACAGCACCCTTGGAAGGACCGGTCTGGTCGGGGATCAAACAACCGAAGACGATGATCATAGAAACCATTTGACCTGTCATACCACCAATGAAGAGCTTGCGGCGACCAATCTTCTCAATGAAGAACCAGGAGAAGGTAGCGAATATAGCGTATACAATCATGTTGATACCACCGATAAGCATGGACATGAACTCATTCTGACCGAGAGACTTCTTCAAGAGGACAGGCAGGTAGTAAATCACAGCATTGCAACCAGACAGCTGCTGGGCGATTTGGGATGAAGAACCGATAAGCATGCGGCGCAGGTGCTGAGTCTTACCACCAGTGAGAAGATCAGAGTAACCAGCACCGGCAGCAACACCAGCAGCCTCAATGGACTCGATGACAAGCTGCTTCTGGAGCTGGGTCTCGTGGGACTCGATTTCGTAGCCACCGAGAGCAGCGAGCACATACTCACCCTCGTGCACCTTACCCTTGGAGATAAGGTAGCGAGGCGAGTCAGGCAAGTAGTACATACCAATGATAATAATAAGGCCGAAGAAGATCTGGAATCCAATGGGGAAACGCCAGACGAGGTCATCGGGGCCGTAGGAGGCACCGAAGTCAATCCAGTAGGCGATCATTGTACCAATGGCGATGATACCACCCTCGATACAGATGAGAAGACCACGGTTGGAGGAACGCGAACATTCGGCCTGGTAGGTAGGGATAGTCGAAGTGTTCATTCCGTTTCCAATACCAGTGATAATACGGCCGACGAAGAACTGGGCGGTAGCTCCATGGCCCTTGATGGCACAGATCTGAATGATAACACCAATGATCATGACATAGGCACCGTGTATAATCATGAGACGACGACCAAGCTTGTCACCAGCGAACAAGGCGTACATGGCACCAGCCAGACAGCCCAACTCGTAGACGGCAGTCACCAAGGCCTGCATGGTGGAGTCGCCATGGGTGAGAGGCATGAACCTGCCGAAGGCATCGGAATCAATAATTCCGGACATAACACCCTCTTATGGATTGTTAGTAACGTTGGGATTTGTCTGATAGATAGATCCATGTACTCACGATCGTAACCGAAAAGCAGGAAACCCATAGTGGCGATGGTCGACACCGTCAACCCCAAGGGTTTGCCGGACATGCCAGCATATTTCGGCGCCATGATGAAGAATATAATTGAGATAAAACTAATATAACCAATCTATCCAAGTCCGAAAGATAAAGGACTAGATCCCAGGGTAACACGTGGGTATGAGTGGGATGATTTGGAATGGGGGGGGATATCGAGAGACACACGCGGAGAAAAGAGAATACCCCAGGGGGAGGGAATAGGGAGATATTTGAATGCCTACCTAGGTACTTCTCCAACGGAATTTGACGAAAATGGTAAGGAGATTCACCGTGGAGCATATAATTTCTTTCCCCCGTGTCTACTTAGGTACTCCACAAGTCCCGTGAGTTCTTTTGGAAAAAAGAAAATAAAAATAAAAAAGAATGTAAATAATTACGAAAAAGCCACTACAGTTGTAACTATGGTTCAACGAATCATAGTTGTGAAGAAGCGGATCCCCATTAGCCGAATGCATCAATAATGGCTGGTTAAGCATTTTCTTGGGGATCCACCCGGTAGTTTGCGTCCCTGATGATATCACAATATTGAATTTTGGTTTTTTTTTTCTTCGTTATTTTCGTTATTTTCGTTTTTCGTTTTTCGTTTTTCGTTTTTTATTTTTGTTTTTGTTTTCTTTCTTTTATTTTCTTACGGCTTATTGTTTTGATCGATAATTATCATCATTGGCCTTTCAACCATTTGGTGGAGAGGGCGTAATCCTTCGATGTGGTGCTTGGATCCGCAAATACTAACCAAACATAAAGAAGTCGAGGAATGAATTCTGGGTCATGTTGAACTGTGTTCGGCTCATAATAAACAGAGAGATTGCCCCGTAGAGGTAAGGTAAGGGTGAATCACAAGCCCTACCAATAATAGGCTTGTACCGTTAAGGAAGGCGTACCGATGTCAAATAGTGCATTCATCGAGATTGCGCATGCACACGGGAAGATCGTAAGTGCGACTACGATGGTCCCTGCCATCCAACATTGAACGGTGTACACGGACGTTGTACTCGATCTCAATGCAACTCGGAGTCCAAGCGCCAAGCCACTCCCGTTCTTCTCGGCGCTGGTTGCAAAACGGGAATCGGGAAGCCGTCCCCATCCCGAAGAAACTCGGCGATGGTGCGAAATGTTGGTGCCCGTAAAAGGACTAGCGTCACACTAAAAGGATCGGACAGGGATCAGCATGGTGGCTTACTCGATACAGAATGTGCCCGACCATCCTCCTTGCCTTCATAATAAGATCTTTTAATATTATTATATGTAATGACATTTCTTTCCCGCTTTCGAGATTCCTATTTGGGCTATAAGTAATACACCAGGGCAATATAAGGCTGCAAGGTTGTATAATGTTGTGCAATGTTGTACAATCCCGAAAACAATATGTGGAATTATGCGGGCCAAGAGCCAAGGCGCCTAGGGCTCGGCGAGGCTTTTTTTCCCCTTACCCGTTGCTTCTTTTCAGCCTTGAAGTAAATTTGATAAATTGATGACACATGAATTGTATGAAACTTAGGTATACTAGCTAGGTAAGGGTAAGTCTTTTCCCTTTTTCAATTTTTTTCAATTTTTCCAATTTTTTCTTCTACCGTTCAAATGATGGCCCACGTTGTGTCTCAAAAACATGCGGGATAATCCATCAAATCCCCTCAAAGAGTACCTCCGGCGGAAAAGTATCAGCTAGTATCCGCAATGATGTCGTTGAACCACTTCCTGGCATATTCGAAGTTTTCTCGAACTGCAACTAAGTGGATACTGCCGCAACAGAAAGGCAACCACATTGTGAAAATCAAAGAATTTAATAGGACATGGTTGGACGTTCAATCTTTGTGTTGCGGATGTGAATGCACTGGACCCAGATTGGAAGAATTCTTGACCGTTGAAGCGTACCATGGTGTAATTAGTTCTTTTCGTAGCAAGTCCGCGTGTCCTCGTTCACCATTCAGGATATTCAACAGACTATCTATGGGTCCCCTTCGGCTAGTAATGCATCTCTGGGAGCCGCCTTCCTGTCTCGTCTGTATTTTGCATGTCCATCTTTATCTTACATGGGGCCATCTAGATTCGCCAGATGAGGGGTTGATTTGGTAATAGAACCGCCAGGCATCAAACAATGTCACAGTGCATATTCATTTGAGCAGAGCACATTGGAAAGACAGACCCCCCTTCCTGGAGGACTTGAGTCGGGATTTCAGAGCCTCCGATAGGCTGTCGGCACAGCCGACCTGTAGATGAATCCTTGATGGTTGATATTCAATGTATTAGTGCGATATATTTTTTCACAGCCGATCCAAATAATACCCATTTATGAGTCCTAAAATACAAGCATTGGTGGCGACCGCTTTGCGCCCCGGTTCGATCTCCCTGCACTTCCATCGACTGATGGAAAGATTCCACGCCACATTCACGTGGTACAACTCCTGGAGAGTTCACTTAGCGGAACCCCTTCCCCGTAAAACGTCAGCGGCACCCACAAGGCAAGAAGGGGGGGATATGGCCACCACGATAGCGGAAGATGGAGAAATGGCGGAGGTGTGGGAGGGTGGAGATTCGGAAGCGCCGGCAATGCTAGGGACGGGGGAGGAATGACCGAACGTGCCCGGTGATAGATTAATGCCGATAACAACGTGACATATATGTGTGCCTCAGGTGCGTTGCCAACTTGACCGGCTTTCTTTTGCGGTCTCTTTGAATTTCAAGCTCAAAACCAGGTTTTAAAGAAGCTTTGTAGGCGATCGACGGTGGCGCTGTCAGCCAAGGCCGAGGTAGGATCCTCCTTCGCCCACTGATCTACACTACTTTATAATGTGAGTGATAGTACTATCGAATTGTCAGCTTGCACTTCCTTTGATGATGGTAAAAGCCTTAGAAACTGTCCATACTTCAACACGATGGTTGATGACACGGTTCGCGTGGTGGATCATGTGACAGAGTTATGTTAATATTGATGCCTCAGGCTGATAAATATTATCCAAGATGTCTCCGACATTCCAACGAGGAAATGCACTATCAACAGTGATTCCAAGGTTCCATTCCGGTGCCTCCATACCCAACCTATGGTGTTCTAGACGTTTGGTGATTTTTGGGAGTACCTTTCTACTTTATAACACAAGGCTCATATTATTGTATGGACCCTAGTATTGAAGACATTTCTGCCTGAGGTATTAGGCAGTGAACAGTGAATGCCTGCCTCGGTATCATGGCTCGCAGGCAACGGTGGTCACTCCCTTCCCGCTTGCATAATTATGTTTTTTTTCCCCCTCTGCAGCTAAGGTTGTTTCTTCTCTGAATGCAGCGTATGTTGTATAGCATACCAAAATAAGGGAAACCTTCGAACAGCGTCTTTGAAGGGAACATTTGAGCATGGATTGGATAGTGGGCATGTATAATACGTCCATTACTACTGGCTGAATACAATATAGAGATCGTGACCAAGAGGCTCCACGACGATCTTGACCCCCAATCTCTTAGATCCTTTGCATTTTGGACTTGGTCTTAGAATTGCGACATCAAATTAGTATACGGACTTAAGGAACATTTCAACTCTCATCCGACAAGACAAGTCTCATCCGACGAGTCGGCCGAGAAGCTCCCCGCAAGTTTCTTCCCCCGGACTCAATTATCCCGAGGGTCCACTAGATCTTTTTTCCTTTAATTACTTCCTTTCTCCTACTCTTCTGCAGACTATACTCTCATTATCCTTTTCAACATGAGTGCAGGCAAGCTCACCGGTGCAGATGTCGCCGAGCACAACTCCAAAGACTCGTGCTGGGTCATTGTACACGGCAAAGCCTACGACGTCACCGAATTCCTCCCGGGTATGTGTTTCCTCGCTGCCGTTCACTTCTCGAATGCGCACTAACATTTCTCAGAACACCCCGGTGGTCAGAAAATCATTCTGAAGTATGCAGGCAAAGACGCGACCGAAGAGTTCGAACCAATCCACCCACCCGACACCCTAGACAAGTTCCTAGACCAGTCGAAACACTTGGGAACAGTAGATATGGCAACCGTCGAGCAGGAAGAAAAGGCCTTCGACCCAGAGGAGGCCGACCGGCAAGAGCGCATTTCCCGCATGCCTTCCCTCGAAGCATGCTATAACCTGATGGACTTTGAGGCTGTGGCCCGCCAAGTCATGAAAAAGACCGCATGGGCATACTACTCCAGCGGAGCGGATGATGAAATTGTAAGCTCGGTACTCCTAGGAATAAAAATGTCCCAATGTTAACCCCTAACCAGACAATGCGCGAGAACCACGCAGCCTTCCACAAAATCTGGTTCCGGCCACGAATTCTAGTGGATGTCGAACATATCGACATGAGCACAACAATGCTAGGCACAAAATGCTCAATCCCATTCTATGTAACTGCCACCGCACTCGGCAAACTAGGCCACCCCGAAGGCGAAGTGGTGCTCACAAAAGCCTCCCACCGACACAACGTAGTACAAATGATCCCGACGCTAGCCTCATGCTCCTTCGACGAAATCCTCGACGCCAGACAAGGCGATCAGGTGCAATGGCTCCAATTATACGTGAACAAAGACCGCGAAATCACCCGCAAGATTGTCGAGCACGCCGAAAAGCGCGGCTGCAAGGGTCTCTTCATCACCGTTGACGCGCCCCAGCTCGGCCGGCGCGAGAAAGACATGCGCTCCAAGTTCTCCGATCCCGGCTCGAACGTCCAGTCCGGCGGCGATAACATCGACCGCACCCAGGGCGCCGCCCGCGCTATCTCCTCCTTCATTGACCCCGCTCTCTCGTGGAAGGACATCCCCTGGTTCAAGTCCATCACACGCATGCCGATCGTGTTGAAGGGCGTGCAGTGTGTCGAGGACGTTCTGCGCGCCGTCGAGTCAGGCTGCGATGGCGTCGTGCTATCCAACCACGGCGGACGACAGCTCGAGACCGCACGGTCCGGCATCGAAGTATTGGCCGAGGTGATGCCTGTGCTCCGCGAGCGCGGCTGGGAAAAGCGCATTGAAATCTTCGTTGACGGCGGTGTGCGTCGCGCAACTGATATCCTCAAGGCGCTTTGTCTGGGTGCCACG